GTGCTGGTTTGTTCCCTGGTGTGTGTGTGTGTGTGTGTGTCTGTGTGTCTGTGTTTGTGTGGGAGCATGTGTATATGTCAGGGTCTTCATGCATCAGCCAGGAAATTGCAGGTGTTGGTTTGTTTGCATTCAAGGCTCAGCTTGCAGCCGCAGTCAGGAGTCTTTTCTGAAGGCCACATCCTCCTCCGAGGTTTTCTCCCTCCAACCCACTCGAGTTCTGCCAAAACTCCAAGCTCGAAAACATTCATTTTAAAGTTCAGCTTTCCCAAAATATTGTCAAAGAGAAGGACGCCTGTTCATGTTTAATTCTATGTGTGCACTGTCTGGAAACGGCCCTGAGATAAGATTCAAAATATCATCAACTTTCTCTCATGAAATGTTGCTTTACCTCCTCTTATAATCCCTCGTTCTGCTTCTTTCTGCTGCCTCTCCTCTTCCCTCCCTCACAGTAGGTTTGGTACTAAGTGTGCCCGCTGTGGGCGGCAGATATATGCCAGTGACTGGGTTCGCCGCGCCAGGGGAAACGCATACCACTTGGCTTGTTTTGCGTGCTACTCGTGTAAGAGGCAGCTGTCCACAGGAGAGGAGTTTGGCTTGGTGGAGGAGAAGGTCCTGTGCCGGATCCACTACGACACCATGGTGGAGAACCTCAAACGAGCGGCTGAGAGTGGTGAGTGGTGGTTCTGGGAAAATGTACAGCAATTCTTCTCGGTGGTCGTCCAGATGTTTGCTCAAAAGACTCCTCCCCAAACAGGAATGAATCCAGAAATAAGTAATTTAATTCTATAATGTCTTATTTCTCACATTAAGTAACATTAATATTTATATTACTGTGCTTAGTCTGTTTACTCCTGATTTCTCAGTGGTTCTCATGGATACCCACAGGATTAGTAGGTCATGTTAGACTTTGTTTCCCAAAATCCCCCAAATTGAGGAAAAAATATTGAAGTCCTCTTAGTTTTTTAAATAAACTTTCTTTGGCTGCTTGATCATTAACATCTGACTTGTACCCCACATTGTGTTTTCCAGGCAATGGCATCACATTAGAAGGAGCTGTCCCCACAGAACAAGACAGTCAACCCAAACCGGCCAAAAGGGCACGGACATCCTTCACTGCAGAACAGCTCCAGGTCAGACAGACACATATTGCACCAATACAGAGATTTAAACAAATGTGTTTGACACTATTTGCATCTCATTTAATTATGCTCGATTTGATGCTAGTGTTTTGTCTCGACGTGCAGATCATGCAGGCTCAGTTTGCCCAGGACAACAACCCAGACGCCCAGACGCTACAGAAACTAGCTGATATGACGGGCCTGAGCAGGAGAGTTATCCAGGTCAGTACACAGACGACCACACTCCTCTAGTGCAAATGAATGTCCACATGCTATAGTTTGCCTGGAGCTTAATGTATTGCAATAGAATAATTCAGCAGCATGCAAACGCCTACGATGTGAGCCAACCTTACAATGGTTCAAATGAGAAAAGGTCAAATAATGTTGAAGCATGGAATTAATATCTATATCAATATATTCACACAGCTTTTCCATGTCTTTATTTTATGAAAAAAAATAGCTACATGATGTCTGGTTACATTGCGTCTTCATAGGTGTGGTTTCAAAACTGCAGAGCAAGACACAAAAAGCACACGCCCCAGCACAGTGGGGCTCCACAAGGTCATCCCCAGTCCAGAATACCCTCGTCCCTGTCTGATGAGCTGCATTACTCCCCCTTCGGCAGTCCTGAGCGGGCGCGCATGGTGGCCCTTCATGGGTACATTGACAGTGAGTTGTGCTTTTGCCTTGTGTGATGATGCGTTACGATTTCAGCTTTTTATTTGTTGACCATTTGTGTTTTCTAAGAGTAACTTCTTTTTAAAACCTATTTTTTTGTGTTTTCTTCAGGTCATCCCTTCTCTGTCCTGACCTCTCAGAGCCTCCCTCACCAGGCCATGTCGCTGCCCCAGCTTCCCCTCAGCCGCTAGCACTCCACCCTAACCCTCGTGACCCCTGAGCTCCAGGCCACAACCCTCCATCTCGCCATCAGCGTTGTCTGCCTGCCTGACCCGGAGGTCAAGCTTGGAGAAAAGACTAATCTTACACACAGGAGGGGCTCACTCTGTGTCCGCCCACTCGGACACAGAAGAGGAAAGCTGAAAGTGTCTTTTTTTTTCCGTCTCTCTGGGGACAGGAATATCCCACCTGCAGCCAGTCGTCTGACAAAGCATTTATCATTAGCAGGAACTCACAGACTAAATGGTTTACGCCACCAAAAGGACCCATTTTGCTTCAAGTGTACAGCGTCCTACTCTGCTCATCCACCCTCCGACTGGAAGGTGGAGTGAGTTTTGAAAAGGATGAGACTGATCAGGGAAGCAGGACTGATGCCTCTTAAATGAGAGTCAGAATATTGAAGAAAAACAAAGAGAAAGGGGAAAGTTGAGGCGGAACTGTCATTGTGGCCCAAGGCAGACCACATGCGAGGTAAGACTCCTCCCTCTTTTCTCTCTTAAGCAACCATGAAGGAGAAATGTTCATAAAATATCTTCACCATTGAAATATTTCTTTTAGGGATGACTTCGTGATTCTGCATCTCAAAAAACTGCTCCCAGCGACATTTTTGTTAGAATTTTGTTAAAGAATGAAAACATTGTGTGCCTTATCTTTCCCATCATTAAAACTAAACTGTACTTGCAGTAATATTCTAGCCTGTAATAACATTTGGCCTTGTATTAATTTTTTGTGAGTGCATTAAATTGTGAGAATTGAAAATCCTCCATTTAAAATCATAAATGTACTGCAGCATGGCGACTGCCTATAATGAAGGAAAACCACAGAGCACATTATGTTAGGTTGTGTGCTGTTAAATTATTGCTGTGATATTAAAATCAGGAACAAACCGATTTAAGCCACAATTCTTATAATATACAAAATGTTTCTTCAAACTGAAGCAGAAGCAAAGGGAAGTCTGAGATGAGCTTACGAGTCACACTACACATTCCTGCAAAATCAAATATGTTAAAAGTTACATATTTTCATATTTCAGGTGTATTGTCACTAATTTATAATTTTTTTAGTTGTTCGTTCAGCCTCTGTGTGCATGTGTCTTTCGTTCAAAGGAGGGAAATGGAGTATTGGTACATAATGGACAGCATAAAACAGACTGGGTTGTACATAGCTGTGTGTGTGTGTGTACGTGTGTGTGTATGTGTGTGTGTATGTGTGTGTGTACGTGTGTGCGTGCGTGTGTGTGCGTGCGTGCGTGTGTGTGTGTTTGTCGGCAGGGGGAGAGAGAGTGTGCATCTGTATTTTAGTGCCATGACCAATGTGTGAAGAACAGGATCCAACAAGACCTCAATGTCCTTGTATTTATTGAGATGGTAAATCCCTGTAAAGCACTTTTTCCCTCTGAAAATGTTTTTGTTTTTGTTACAAAAACCATGAAATGAAAAGAAACAAAAAGTTTATTTGATAGACTGTGCATCATAAATGTTTTGTGTACTAAAATGCAATAAAATAGAATGTGATACTTTTGTGGGTCATTTCTGAACAGAACTAGTGAAACAATAATTCACTTCCTGAACAACAAAGCAAAGAGAAGAATGTACAATGATTAATATTTCAAATTGCAAAAAAACCCAAACAAATCAAATCAATTCAAACTGTATGAAGCGATTGTATCTTCAAGGTTTCTTTGTGTCATAGTATTATTACCATTATCATATTATTATGTGTACAATTTATTTTTAATGTGCTCGGTGCGTAATGGGAGATAAAATACTTATATGTTACTGTATTTAATTACTGGTGCTATTTTCAAAAACAGTTACTAGTTATTATATTTTTAAGAGTAGTTTCTAATGAGTGCACGATGCAGACCTGTGCATTAACAACAGACATCTTCCATCCTCCTGCTTATATGACAACCCTGACAATTTCATACCTGCAGCATTAAAGTTGTCATTGGTATTACGTGATCCATGGTGATATTTTGAACATTATCTCTATCTGTGACGTGGTGACATTGTCACGATGTTTGTGACTGATATCTTGCATCAGAAATCAAAACAATCCTTTACTTGATGATTCAGTTAGTTTCTGATTCAATGTGTCGTAGACATCCAGTAACACCCAGTTGAGAAAGAAACAATGGTTAATAAATACTAAACAACTAATCTGGACAAAATTTAAATCAAAGTATATTTTATTCAACTAAGAGACTGTACACACTGTTTTGATCTTATGTTCTCAGTCCTCCGTCTTTACACACCAACACACACACACACACACACACACACACACTTTGCTTTTCACTCATCTTGTGTGATGCAATACAGACAAATGATCAGTACACTCCCTATAGTTTTTAAATAACTACTAAAGGAAACTGTTACATGCATTGTAGTTGAGAAAGTAATCATTTTATTTCACTGGTCTCTTCAGGTCTGGTTGCAGCAGTTTTTTCAGGATCAGCGCCAACAACCTTGGCCCCAGCTTTCCGACAAGTGTGCACAATCCACCCATGTTCCGAGTCATCTGTTGGGAAGATTTCATTGGAAATTATTAAGATTTTTTGATAGTGGCACTAGATACAAGGTTTAGATCAAAACTAAATTGTTTTTCCAAAACTTTTGACCTTTGTCCAAATAGGAAACAGAAATACAAACCTCAGATTGAAGTGTGAAGGAGGGTGCGCAGCGAGGAGCTGCATTCAGTGCCAGTAGCCTGCATAATTAAACCGCAGGTCATTTTGTGCATGTGTGTGCGAGGCAGTGAAGTGCCATTCAAGTCTGGGGGTAAATTCGTCAAATCAAGAAAACCCAGACAATTAGAAGCAAATAACTTCTCAGAGACACTTCAGACACCAATAAATAATAACCCCCCCCACCCAAAAAATGACGCCAATTTTTTTAAAACCCAAACGACTGCCAGTGGAGCTGAGAATAAAGCAGTTTTTCATTGTTAAAACTGGAATGAGGAGCTAATTGCAGGGGAAGTGAGCTTTCTCTGGAGCGCGTGCAGCTGCATGTACTTGAGCGGCCTGCAGGCCTCACCCCCAGGTTGCAGTGCGCGCGGGGCTCCATTGTACAGAGGAGCAGGTCTGAGGCGCTAACACTGATTGTGCATAATTGCCAGCGATGGGCGTCGACACTAACAGCCACTTCAACTCTAAAACACCCATTCTCCTTCTTCTCCTTCCCTCTTTCTCTTTCTTCCCCTCGGTCCGTCTGTCTTTCTTTCTACCTGCTCTGATCGCCGAGGTCAATTGAACAGATCGGACACGCAGGCAGCTGCCACACCAACATTTCCAACCAAGCTTTTATTGTGGCCCACTTGTGTTAGTGGAAATAAAGGCAGGCAATTATTCGCGTCACTGCATCACTTGTCAGACTGACCTCTCTCTGCCACACACCACAACCTGCCTTAATGATAATTAGATTGCATGGGACATTTTCATATTTGCTGTAATTCTGCCCTCTTCAGATTGTGTAGCAGCGTTTATCTCAGGATTTAACTCACACGTAATTGGCACCTTGAGGTTATTCCATGGCACAGGTGGCTGATGTCTTAAGATAATTTCCTGCACTGGGATATTTTTGCGATTTAGTTTCACAGTTTTGGTGATTCACCGCTAACTAACTAGACCAGAATTAGACAGTTAAAAAGAAATAAATCAAATTACTGTGTTTTTTTTTCTTCTTTTGGCTGGATCATCACCTTCAAATTCAACTAAGTGCAGCACAAACACACACTTGTTTATTAAAGCAGTTTTCTGGTTGATGTCCATCTCGACAGTTACAACCTGCACGGGCGACCTTTACGCAGTGTGCACACAGAGAGAGTGTGTGGAAACGATAATGGCACCTTGTTAAAGTCTGTTTATTTTAATCCTTAAAATACACTCCCAGGGAAAAGTGTTTCCTTCCAGTCTAATGGCGGCGAGGTAAGACACAGACACACACACAGACACAAATGCAGACACAGACACACATCTAAATTACCAAAGGTTTTCTTGATCTGCAAAAGAGATGATGATTCTACTGGATTTGAAAGCCAAATAGAAAAACATGCAGTATTTAATTTACTCAGTATTAGACAGTAGAGCTACAACGCTGTGATGTCATCATGAGACAGACTGAACCTGATCTGCTGACAGTGACAAGGACCTCAACTCAAAGGACACATGTGGTCATATATACTAATTTAAACATGTTTTGTGGTTTCCAAGTGGAAACACTACAGTGAATCAAACGTACCTAAATGTGAAAGCCCAAACAAACATTCATACGTGTAGAAGTCATCTGTCTCCAATTCACTGCAAACAGACAAGACCTCGGCTCGGTGTCTTGAACGCGTCACAGAAAAAAAGCTGCTTTTTTAGGGTTTTCCAGCTTTGAAGTGTAGATACTGATCTCTAATGTTTTTAATCCACCGTCTCAGCTCGCAGGATTAACTTGTGAAACCTATTTTACGGTGAATTTTTTTGTCTCAAAGATGTATGAAAAACGAGAGTTTGAGGAAAGGCAGCATGAGGATATGCTCCCCTCCCCAGGGCCCCCCGGCTGATTTTATCTGTCTGTGAAACACCTCGGCTGGACGGGGACAAAGGGAGGGGCCCGCGGTTTGGTCACCGGAGGTGTTTTCCTTGGCAGTGGAATGTTTTCAGTGCGGAGCTCTTTCTGCGCCGAGTTTCAAAGGGAAGCGGTTATTCCAGAAACAGGAAAGTGCTACAAACAATATGGCAACACATGGCCCCTGCTGGAGCTGCTGCCGCCCCCTGCGCTGCTGCCGAGTGTTGCTGCCCGTTGCCAAGAGAGAAATCCATAACTGTCTGTGTGTCTGTGTTTGTTTGTAGTAACAGAACACACTCAATCAGCCACTGGTGGATATTTGATTGTGCAGATGTGGCCTGTGCATCTTTCCCCTTCATTGCCCTTTAATTACTGTTTTACAGAGTGATGCAAATGTTTTATATCGCACCTCCAACTTCAGCAACAATCTTCAATCAGCAACGACAAATTACAAGTAAAATTACATGTCTGCGGAAGTTCGGAGGAAAAGCCTTTTTGACGAGGATTTACTTGTTTGATTTGTGTTTCAGATTTAACAGTAATCACTTCATTGTGTTGTTGTGTTGACGTATTTAAGCTGGGTTATGACACAGTGAGGTGGCCGTAAGTGGAAGCACATGTTTGCTGAATTGCTGTCATAAAAATGCACAAGAAAATCAAATCATAATTCCAACCTCCTCCATTAAACCCTATTAAAATGTATGAAAGCATTATTTATTTTTTTGTGTTTACGTCAAAATTGTGTTTTTAATTTTCTTAATTTAACAAGCTGCCTTTGATTATTAGCTGTAATTCAGTTTAATTCCGAGGTAAAACTACAACTGATGCTGAGACAAATGTGTTTCACTTGTTTACATGATGCAAAAGTATTTAGCCCACGTGACAAAATGAACATCCTAATAACTATCAGCTGCACAAGATCATTTTTTAGAACGAGAAGACAGAGATGGATTAGTCCTCCTGCTCGTCTGCGATTCCATCTGTGAGAGATGAGTTGAAGAGATGAGAAAACTTTGTCATCCTAATGATTAATTACTGTGGAAGTAAAGAGGAGGTGGGAGGAACGTCAGCCAGAAACAAAGTCTGTGATCCATGAATGTTCATCATTCAGCACCTGCACTCACTCATCGCTGACACACACACAAATACACATCAAATCGACGGCTTAGAACTGCTGGATGTGGCTCCGCCTCTCAGGAGTTGTAAACCTACTGAGAAACTATTTACTGGGTTTAAATTTAAAGACTTTAAAGACTTTTTTAGGCCTAAAGTTCAGATTATTGCATTTTAGACAATTTTAGTTTGATATACTTTTTAAGAAACCCTGTATTTAAACTTGGCCTTGCAGAAATAAAGCATGTTTCTGGAAATTAATGGCATCTCTTTTCTCAAATGTAATCAATAAACAAATCTGAGAGCCGTTTTAGTGGAATTTCCTCAAAAAAAAAAGAAGAAGACAGGAAACGAAGACCAGCGTCAGTCCAGTGGGTTCACGTGTCAGTTAAGGAAGGCATTTGTCATCATCCACTGGTTACACACACATGGTTTACTTTGCTTGCAGAGTCACGCCCATTAACAGCTCCTCCAACCCATGTAAATGTTTCCTGAAATTTGTGGATGTTTTTGCAGAATTAGCTGAGTGCACCACTTACAATCAGAAACGGTCTAAGTCTGTTACTGTAACATTTGTGTCTGGAGTGCTGTGCATGCCATTCCATTAGAACTGTTTATCCAAAGTGACGTGTACTTGGACAGCAGTCTGGGATGCGGTGGACAAACCACTAACTTTAGAGCAAATGGACTAAACTGACACACCCACCCGAAATTATAAATTTATAAATTATTGAACAAAAAATTTGAAGGAATCATAAAAGGTAATGTAGAAATAGGATCTTTATGTTGTTGGTCAAATGTTTCTGTCATAAACTGTAAATAAAGATGGACGACATGACAGCTCCCAAAGTGAAGCCAAATCATTTTGCTCTCCCCCTGGTGGCTGGCTGCAGTAAATATCATGAACCCAACTTCCTCCATGTTAGTGAGTAAGATAAAATAAGATAAGATAAGATAAGATAAGATATGATGAGATAAGACAGACTTACATGTTGTCCATCTTTAAATACAGTTTAAGTAATGCCACATATTTGCTCTTTTTGGACACTGAAGGTTTCCTCTAAATAATCCTAACTGACACCCATTTCCTTTATCATCCTTACATTGTCTACACAATGAACCAGAACTCTTGACAGATGCCTCCATAGCAGCTCCTTGACGACAAGAAATCAGCTCAATTCCAAAAATACTCTGCACCTCTTGGGGAATATTAGCAACAGATCCTATTGTTTCACCACTTGGCAATTTTCCAAGATGGCCTGTTTGTCCAAGTTAGCAACGGTTACTACGGAGAGCGGGACCGGGCCGGCCAGTGAGTAAAGTTTAGCCTGTTATTTCCAAGCAATGATATTAAGTTCCAAGTGGTAAAACTGGAATCATCTTCATTTTAAAACATTTCCATATGCATACATTTCTGCATTTTTTCTAGATATGAGTCTTTGTCCTCACTGTCTTCACTGGCTCCCTTGTCCTAAACCCACCAGTTCTAGGCAGCACATGCTGAGCTCCTTCCGCTTTCCTTGCCGCAGCAAACTTCCCCACAGGGAGGGTGGGTCTGCCCTGTGTCCCACCATCCTCACTGTCCTCGTCTTGAGGCGGAAGCCATTAGGCAATAAACTCAAAAAGGCCTCACACCCACTCTGACCGATGTGCCTTCACTTTTCCTGGGTTGGAAAATAAATCCAAACAGGATACAGAAGCATTCTTCTTAAGGATATATGGCAAGATAAGAAGGAAGAACACAGTGGCATGAATATGATATATATGCATGCCACATTTATAGATGTATGAAAGACGCCCGAAGGTGGTCATGACCTGACAGGATCGAGCCAATTCCTGGCTTCTCCTTTTCTTTCTGACAAACAAAGGTATAAAAATCCCCATAAAAATAACTTTAAAAGTGCCCTGAGATAACTTTTATTATCATTTGATGCAATATCAATAGAGCCTGACTGATTTATCAGTTGGCTCAAACAAAAATTGGTCTATATGAGCCTTTCATAGATACAGTGTATATCAGTGTCTGTGTTTAAGTTTGTAGATATGCGCTGATGTAAAAACCTTAATTTTCCTGATAATTCAATGCATAAAAGATGTGCTTTAATGGTTTTATCTTATGTAAAAGTATTTTTTCCTGACTTCAAGCTTTATATATTTGGATGTATTTGTTTTTTTTTGTTATTCATAGGTATTTATAATAAAGTTTATGATTAAACTGTAAAGTATCAAGCCTCACTTACATTTCTTTGTCAGGTTTGATAACCACATATATACATAATATTGGTTTTGGCATATTATTATTGGTTGGGCTCTTACTTGACTTGATTTACACAGACATCGCTCCACACACACACATAAACACGACGAAAAAAACAAGGCACATCAATTAAACTGTTCCTGTTTGACTTTATATTTATCTAAATCAAAACAGAGTCGGAGCATTGTTGGAAAGTGCAGTTCCTCTTCTTTTTCATCTCAACTTCCAAAAAAAAAATTCTCCTCTTTTGTTCTCTTCCTCCCCGTCTCTCTCCCCATCATTCCACTGATCAATACCAGGACTATAATGATGATGAACAACCCGCATCAAGGAAAAGAATCGGAAAACATATTTTTGTCTTCTTACGCATGCCGATGACATCTGGCGAGGATGTGGATCCTCTCCTCTGTTTCCCCCTGTCTCTTCACATATGTAAATGAGATTTGTGTGCTTGTGGAACTAATCTGTATTATGTTGCAAGTAGTTCATCTGAATACAAATACTCTGCCCAAAATCACATTTCTACCTCGGGGGAGCTGGTGAGTCATAGCTCTGCTCTGTCCAGGGATCATGACTTGACACGTGTATGAATTTGTAAAGTAAGAAGCAATCAAATCGATTTACGTAGAAAATAAAACAGATTCAGGAATCTTCAGATAAAAATCCAGAAAAGGAAGCTGGACTTTATCTTGTTTCTTAAAACACTTGAAGAAAAATACCAGAAATTGTCCGATTTGAATATTTCCTGTCTGCACCTATGAGCAAGAGACCTGATTTTACAAAAACATTCATGCACACAGTTTAAGTTATTATTCAGCACATTAGAGTCTACAGCCATGCTAGCAGCTCTGACCTACTTCCCGACGTTATGTAAAAGCACGGCGGTGAGACATGACGAACAGAGGATGTCAGAAATTGGGAATTTCTATCTGGACAGCTGACAAACTGCATTCACTTCACATCAGGGGTTCCAAAACTGGGCACATGTTCAGCGGAAAAATGTGTCTTGAATTTTCCACTTTTGACAAATAACAAAAAGGAAAAAAAAAAACTTTGTGAATGACTGAAATAGCCTCTTTAAGAAGCATTCTTATCAGATGGCTTGAAGCAGTAATCTTCCATCACAGAATTCAGGGATAATCCATTTAAAAAAGTCACTCCATAGGTTCACTGTTATCAAATCCTTCCCATGTGGCCACGCTGTATGCTGTCACACAAGCAGTTATTGGAATATAGGCAAGGACAGAGGGTCCTGCCTGAAAAAAATTCAATTCAAGAGCTTCACTGTGTCAGAAAGTGGCTTCAGTGGCCTGTTTGGAGAAAAGTTGACTTTGTGAAAAGTTTACACAGAGCTACCATTTTGTACAGTGTGACAAGGCAGCAACAACGACTCCCTCAGTACTAATTTGGCCGACAGCACGGCTTTTAACTCGTGGATCTTCCTGAGGTGTCGGCCTGAGTGGACATTTCCTTCCTTGAATAATACAAGATCATCGACCAACGACTGAAAGAATTACATGAGGCAGAGCGCTCCAACAAACCATTAGCTCCACCATGTAGGCACAGTCTCATGTCCTTTATAACTCTAAAGCCTACAGCATGCTTGTGCTGCAAATTGGAAATATTAGTTAAATCAACATGTGATTATGAAATGATGTTATCCCTGCTTATGATCATTTATGGTAACAAGTGGTGCTGCTTGATTAAATTTCACTATAAATACATTTCACAAAGAGGAATCTGTCGCTGACGTTTGTTGACTTTCTGTTTGGTATAAAACAGAGTGTGCTTAATTTGAAAAGTAAATTTGCTGTTTGCTCTGAGTCTTTCTGATTTACCTTGGCACGGCTGGCTAAGATGCCTGGATATTTCTCAACAGTATCTGAGCCAGTTTGGCAAAGTTAATGTAGAAAAATGTGACTGAACTGAAGAAATGAAAAAACGTGGAAGGTATCCATTATTAATTGGGAAGAATTATTATTATTAGACCAAATAAGTTGTTAAATCTCTAAATGAGTCTCTGTCTCACCTGCGTTCCTGAGGAATCTGCCCGTGTAGGAAGTGACGACTCTCGTGGTGGGATCGTAGAAACCGTCCCCACAATCATAGCACAAATCCGGGATTTCACGTGGAGGATGCAGATCAGTTAGCTGAGATTCTCCTGTATGGACAGGGGAGATGTTTTGTAATGGATTTATTTGTCGGCATAATGGTTCAGTGGTTAATGCTGTTACTACGAGATGTTGTGTTCAGATCTCATGGTTTTGACTCTTAATTATCTTTCTTTGTCATAAGAGTTCCATCAAGACATCTTAGGAATCATTGACATTTTTTATATATATATATCTGCTTATAAAAATATAAAGTTTTTTCCTCCTGAATTTAAGAATCAGCCCCCCAAACTTGGTCAGGCTCTAATGTTGGTGTGTTTCTGAGGGAGTCAGCCTCTGACTGAATATAGATTCCAACCTGCAGGTCTTAGTCCACTGCACCTCTCAGAGAAGAAGCGTCTGTCGTAACCATCGCAGTAATCCCAGTCCTGCTCCTCATACTGCAGACCATCAGAAAAGGTCAAAGATCCCTTGGAAGGAAGCACAATGAAAAACACATCATTCATTCGTCATAGACTTTAAAGGGTCAATTCACACAAATTAAGAAAAAAACTTTATTTTACCTCAAGTTGTCTGGTCATGAAGTTTCAGTTTTATGTTCAATGCCAATATTATAAGATATCTTCATCTTCAAACACAATGGAAGTTCAATAGACACAAAACCTCAACAGCAGAAACAATGTCCCTGCTAAATAATACACAGACCTCTTTGTTTGCTTTGTTGGGATTATTTCTTTAGCAGAAAGTGAAATCTGTTGTGAGTGGGGTCTGAAGGTGATCCTGTGTACATGAGACATGGTCTCTGGAAAGATAAGCTGCTGGTGAGGTTGTTTTTTTTAAATGCCACTTTTCAGCGCTTTAAGAACCACACGAGAGTTTAACTTTTCCTCCATTGTCTTTGGGTTGAGGCAGAAATCTTAGAGATGGATATCATAAAAACCTCAGCAGATTAAAACCAAAACTCTATGTGACATGTATCATGCAGGGAAAGTAGAAAAATATGTGTACAACTTGTGTGTGTGTGTGTGTGTGTGTATGTGTGTGTGAAAATGAAAACTGACTTTTATAAATAAACATAATACTCTGTTCAGTAATTGTGTGTATTGAGCACGTACCAATAACATTTTAACTTCAGTGTCAAAATAGGAGATTCTGATTTTAAGTGCATTTTTAAGAGCGAAGTTTGAGATTAACATACAGTGGATCTTAAAGTATTCTTCCTATTTTCCTATAGTAAATATGAAAATACAAACAGCATGTCCAGGATTCTCAACCTCCAGGCGGAGAAGCATTGACAGCAGGAAGCAGTGCATGTTTCAGAACGAGCTATGAGCTACTGGGTATGATTACAGTTTGAATTTCTGCGTTTATTGAATGCTTCAGGTCTGTTTTAAATGGAAGTATAGGTTCTGTCAGGCTGGCATGGATGTAGGTGTGGGGGTAGTCTGGTCCGATGTTAGTCACGGTGCTGGCCTGCTATCATTTCACATGAACCGCAACAGCATTGATGATAATAATTGGAATGATCGCTGTTGTGGCAAAAGGCCGTGAAAGATTGCAGGGAGAGACTCCAGCTTCACACAGGAAGAAGGGAGGGAAACCCAATAACTGCGACAATAGCGGTGAGTGATTGCTAAAAGGGACCAGATGTGATGTCAACTATAACCAATGTGAAACACACAGTCGTGCGTGTGGATGCAGATATTCTGACATTGACATACACACACACATACACACACACCTGTGTAGCTATGCCGTTCTCCCAAGTGGCTTCGTATTTGCTTCCATTTGGAAAGTGCAGCACTCCTTTGCCATGGAACACTCCATCTTTCGTGTCTCCCTCATGCCTGGTCCCTGTGGGGAAGGTGTATTCTCCTTTTCCTTCCATCCTGATGGAGAGAGGAGCAGGTCACCAGTGTGCAACTTTTAGATAACTACAAACTACTGTGTGGTGGCATCCAATCGTGGAGTGTGTCCACAAGACTGCTTGTCATACAATACGCCTGCTCCTTGCTGATGATAACTTCTCAATTTATTTGTCATTGATGCTCCCTTCATCTTATCAGACATTTTTCTTTGAAATCAACCTTTCTGTCAGTGTGAAAAGGTCATTAATAGATCTCAGTTATTCAACAAACTGAAACTTCTTGTTCTCCTGCCATCTCTAAAATGAGTTGCTTTCTTTGGAAGTCACAGGAAAGACTCTCCACAAACTCCATTTTGATAGCATCATCAATGTGAATGGCTCTCAGTAGGGAGCATACCACTGCTAAGGCCCAACAGTCCCTTGAATTGCAAAGATATCAGTCCATCAAATATGCCTGATTTTCTCATCAAGGACCGTGAACACTGACACACTTTTCCATTATGTTACAAACTGTTTCCTCTCTTCAGTGTTGTAAATACTGTTACCTCACATGTTTCTTTCTCTGAGCTTTTTAACGTTTGTTTCCCCTGTTAATGTTTTTTTGTTGGTAGTGTTTCTCTTGTTGAGGAGTTAAAGACAGATGATGCCATACCTTGTTTAACCCTGTGAGACAAATTGATTGATTCATTAATCCATCGATCAATGAGGGTTAATACACAGTTGCGTGTATTTACCTGCCATTTTTCGTGGTTCCTGTGTAGCTGCCTCCTGTGGCCTCCATTAATAATCCGTCGTCCTCTCAATCAAAATCACGAACGACTTCGAGACAGCTCAACGCTGGTGGAGGCCGTTACCGTGGCAACAGTCTGTGGCAACAGCTTGTGAGGATCCCGGAAGTTCCTGGTGAAAGTGTTCCGCAAAACAAAGCACCAGTGTTAAAGCCTGTTTAAAATAGATATAAAATAAAAGCCAACAAAAAAACAACATAACAAATTCAATTAATCTAAATTCTTCTTCTTTACAGTATCGAAGGCGGGCGGTTGTTGTCGCGCCCTCTGCGACGTCATCAGAGCGCGCTTCCCGGCCGCCAGCAGCAGCGCTGTTAAACCGGACTGACCTTCCTCTGCGCGGCCTCGTCGCTCGTCCCGGAGCCTGACGAGGACCTTGAATGTTCTTCAGCGGTTCTGTTCTTCTGTAGATTTGTATTTCTTCAGCCATGCCAACAGTGCAGGAGATCCCCACAGCGCAGGAGCTGAGTGTGGACGAGGTGAGCAGCGGCTGTTGTTGAGCCTGAGCGGAAACTAGTAAAGACAGCTAAAGGCAGGGTAGCTAACTAGCATGCTAACTGCTAGCTGCCACCGGGTTCAAGATATCCTCAATGGCTGCAAACTCTGAAGTAGTCAGATGATTTGTTTTGATGAGAGACCAGCCAGGGAGTATTTGTGAATGCAACCGGAGCTGGAGAACATTCGGGCATCTCTGTGAAAGCCCCCACGGCTACATTAAGAATGTAAAGGAAATCAAAGTGTGTTTTCATTACGGTGTTATTGCATTCATCCTAAACTTTGTCTCCTCAGGGTTTTATAGTTCACACGACCTCTGTGTTTCACCGCTGTGTTCATGGTCACTTTACATGGACCCAAAACAAACCGTGTGTCAGCAGCAGTGGTATTTAAACTTGTCCTTGGAAGTCAGGTCAAGTGTTTTTGATTTCAATAAATGATCCATCACACGAATTCTGTGCTGGGGGTAGTTTTTAAAGTGAGACATATAAAGTACAGACATGTTTGAAGAATTGTATTGTCGTGGCAGGTACTTCTACTCACTGTTGTTGTATTCTCTGTTCCCTGTTGCCCAAGGTCTTTCGCCTGTAGACAAGGATTATTATGAAGTATGCTTTATCGTCTGTGATATAAGAAAGTAAATACATGTTAGAAAGTTAAGTGACGGCATCTTCCTCTCTGGTGTGTGGATTATTTAAGCTCAATTCTTATGTGTACTACATATATATATACAATTAATGTCCTTATTATATGAAAGCTAACATCTTTATTTTCTGAAAACATACTGTGTTCCTCCTGCATCAATGTTTACTAAAGTCCTGTTCCTGTGAAGCTCACACAGAAGAGATCAACTTCCATTCTTCACATAGGAGATGGTGTATTTTTGTTACAGGACTTGTTGATCCCTCTCAAAACAGAGTGTTTATTGCTGTGAACATAAAGGCCGTTCTCTGTTGTGAGATAAAGTAAAAGTTCCGTCTTATTTTGTACCTTGACACAGTCACACTACTTTTTTTTTTTTTTTTACAGAGAAGACTGATTTTCAGTTGTTAGCTTTCTGTGAGTTCTCATTGATTCTAATTACAATCAAACAAGTCAAAGAGGTGAAACATGAAGGAAACAAGTTGTAGCTCTGAGACAGCTGTGAGTATATGTATGCATGTTAGTGAATTGGTACATGTAAAGCACAATCAGAAGCAGTCTGTCTGTGGTGACACACTCAGAATGTCGGGTACCTAGAGTAGGCAGGTGTGGAAAACGGCCTGCCTGACCGTTGTGGGAAGATCTGCAGCTAAAGTGGAGACAACTGATGTTGTACTGAGTTCTGCCCACTTGCTTAGAACTCAAGACACTGTGTGGACAGTAAAACATGATTTTTGATCTCTATGGTCCGACAGCTCTACAGTGAAGCAACAGTGTATATTTTTTATTTTGAGTAAAAAAGTTTGGGTCATTGTGAAACTGTAGGGTGACAAATTAAATTGAGTCAATTTATTATTAACAAAAAGTTTTCTTCATGATCAATCATTTTCCAAAAGATGGTCAATATTTTGAGAGCAATGTCAATTTACTAACACAGCTATATGTCTCAGCAAATTTACTATTAAGTTATAAATTTACAGCCACTTTCATTGATTATTTTTTTGTCCATCAGATCAATGTGTCGTCTGCAGTGCTGAAGGCTGCTGCCCACCACTATGGCTCCCAGTGTGACAAACCCAACAAGGAGTTCATGCTCTGTCGCTGGGAGGAGAAGGATCCCAAGAGGTGTCTGGAAGAAGGCAGGAAAGTCAACGAGTGTGCACTCAACTTCTTCAGGTAACACACACCCACACAGAGAGACAATTACAGAAACCCTCCTCTAGGGAGGTTTACACATTGTTCATTTTCCGATAGACTCAGAAACAGTTGTTGATTCAGATATGTGGGGAACCGTGAAGAGGCAAGAAATCTGTAAGTAAGCAAGAGTGAGAACTGTTTAATGCAGAATATTTCTTGCAGACAGCCACACTGATTTCATCTGCAAAAATAAGCAGTGTGCTTGTGGTCAGAGAGCGATTTTAAGATGTGGCTGAACTCTGGAGCCAGCTAAAGAGTCCATGTTAAACAGTGGTCAGGAGATTTGTGGTCAACAGTTTTTGCATTTCTTCATCTGTTGGACACGTGGGCAGAATATGTTCTTTGAAGTCCTAAATATTGGTGTTGAATTGCTGTTGTTCCTGTTCTGCAACGTATCCTGCAAATAAGCTTTCAATATCATCTGCTTCTACTGAGAACACTGAGCCATGAGTGGTTAGCTGTACAAGATGTCTACTATTTTCCTAATTGCCTGTATGTCTCATATTTAAGAAATTGAAGGTAAAATTGGAAATATGTTGTTCCTCATATTCCAAAGTGTTTCTTAAAGGAAGGAAAGATGAGTGATTAATTTGCAGCTGTCTCAATTTAAAACAAAATGTGAATGCAAAGAAAACTCCAATGCACTTAGAGGACAGAGCAAAGTCAAATAAGGTAAAGACATGTTTCTCACATGAACATAAGAATAAATCCCTGCACAGTGAGGTAGTGCTCTCTGCAGATCTTAACTTAAAGAAAGTAAAAATACATACAGCAGGTTTTTGGTCAAAGTTTCCTTAGTTGTTGCCAAATGTCTGAAAAGTTTTTTTGATTATGTAAGTGTACTTTGTCACAGATCTAATTCCACAGCTGGTTGTGTTTTTGGGTCATCTGGATTATTTTATCAAGTCAGTGGTTATTCCAGCAAAGGTATTTTTCTTGTTATTATTATAGTTCGTTTTATTTTAATTCGATTTAACAGTAATTCAACAGAATTAACATTTTTCTCTAAATTTTTATGAATATATTTGATAAGTCAGTCTTAACCACAGATGCTTAAATTGAAATGAATTTTTCATTTGCAGTTTCCATGCAGATGTCTTTATAAAATGACCAGTAGAAAAAAATGAATGCTAATTTCATAACCTGTTTGAATTGTTCACCGAGCCTGTTGTGTCTTTAAAAGTGCCACTGGGGGCTATTTGAGGAAGTGGTCTGGGGTTTTTCACTCTTAAATACTATGTCTGTGTTTACTGAAAGTTTTAAACAAGCTCCGTTTATACTGATTTTCCTCCAGTAGGTGTTTTTGTGTCTCAAACAAATTGTGTGTTTCATTGTCAGAAAAAACAAAACACAATAAAACGCATGACTTCAAAATCATAAGAAGAAACAAAACAAAGAGACTTTCTAAGCCCAGACATAAAGTCAGAGTTGTTGTGAAAGAACCTGAAGATGTAATTATTATAATGAGGAAAGGTTTGAGGAAAAAGCTGTAATTGCACCTGGGACCTGGTTTGATTCTTTGGTCCTTTAGTAACTGCCAGACACCCCGAGGTGCACTTCGTTCACATAACCAGGCCAGATTATTGTTGTTATGGAAACCTTCACGATGAAATCAGATTTTTTTCAGTAGTGGACACATTTATAAACCACAATTGAAGAAAAATTACTGATTTGGTTTGAAGTCATTAAGCTTTTAACCTGGATATCCTCTCCCACATCTTCCTTTACATGTCAGTCACTCCAATCATCATATTTCTCAAAGATATTTTTGTATTCTCGAGGAAGAGTTCCTGCTCATATTTGACTTTGATTTAAATCTGTTTACAATGTTCCTCGTAGGCAAATCAAGGGTAACTGTGCCGAGTCATTCACGGAATACTGGACCTGTCTGGATTATTCAAACATGGCGGAACTGCGTCACTGCCGTAAGCAACAGCAAGCCTTCGACAGCTGCGTCCTCGATAAGCTGGGGTGGGAGAGACCTGATCTTGGAGACCTGTCTAAGGTGAGGATTGTGAAGGACTGCACAGCTGATTAGAGCTCTGTTCTTGCCAGTCATGGGCTATGCAAGAGCCTCTGATTGCATCTGCTTAGTGGTCTCACTTAGTTTAGAGCAGGAAAATCATGTATTACTGCTTTTCATTGTGAGGTTTTCTCCTATTCATTAAATAGCCATTTTTAAGGGGTTTTACATGACTGGCAGGCATTAATTAGGCAGCAATTAAAAGATCACAAACTGATCCTGACGGTAGATCTTTTGACATTTCTTTCTTTTTGTGAACTTTCTATTCACGAATCTGTGAATGGCTCTAATCAACCTTCTGGCCATTTTGCACGTTCCAGGCAGAGTCATTGTTCATGGAATCAAATCACATGAGCAGGGAAACAACAGAAATCTGAATAATGGTCAGGTTGGCCTTCAACACTCACTGGCTGAGTTTCTCAGGCTTCTCTGATTGGAGAGAGTTCACCAGAAAAGAGTGATGTAATCAAGTGGATATTAATTGTGTTTAATTGTGAATTGAGACCCAACCTGTGGATCATTTCACTGATCATCAAAGGTCACACTCCAGCTTGACGCACTGCACTAGTTGTATTGGGTTTCAGGGTTTTTAATACATTGCATCACTAAAGCTGAGCGTGTTCAAACTAAAGTCCTGTGTTTACTTTTCTTCGTAGGTGACCAAAGTGTCGACCCCGCGGGCCATCCCTGAGAACCCGTACCACTCTAGACCGCGTCCCGAGCCCAACCCAGTCATCGAGGGCAAGCTGGAACCTTCCAAACATGGCAGCAGGTTATTCTTCTGGAGCTGGTGAGGCAGCACCAGAAAAAGTCAGTCACCTTCCAAAGCCATGGGCTCTGTCCAAATTCTGCTGGACTACATGTGACCACTGATACATCTGTGTTTTAAAAGAAAGTTTAAATCTCCCAGGTTCAGACACAAACATTAAAGAT